CAAAGACATTTAGGTCGCACAAACAGCAGCGTAGTCAATATTAAAATCACCACATAAAATTTTTCTGCTTTTAATGGGCAGAATATCTAACAAATTTAGCAGGCTCTGAAAAAATAGTTCAGTATCAGAGCTAGGTGATCTATAAATGCAAATAATGTATAGATTAAATTTCTTATTATAAATCAAAGAAAATTCGAAGTAGTTTTCACCCAGCAAATAGTCATATTTCGAAACTGAAGAAAAATCATTGTTATTTGAAAGAATCAGAGTGCCACCATGAGCTGAACTTGGACGATCATACCTAGCAATTGTGGTATATTCTTGAATGAAAATTGGCTCATTAACTTCAAGCCAGTGTTCCGTCACTGCAACTAACTGGGGAAACCCTAATTCTTCCAGAAACAAAAATAATTCGTCTGTCTTATTTCTAATCGATCGAATATTAATAAGAACCATGCCAAAGTTGCTAGCAGTTAAATTTGAGGATTCTAGACCCTCAGAACACGTCGAAACATTTAAAAATTTCGTCTTGGAGAACCGGTGGAAAAGTAATTTTGATGACATTCCCTTGATCTTTGCAGATGGATAATTTTTTCAGCAGCAATAAAGGACCTAAACGTAGCTAGATCTTCGTCTACCTCAGCTGGACCAATTCCATAGGCATCATGAAATTTCAAATAAATTTTTCGCAGATCTTCTCTTTCGCAGATATTCGCAGATATTGTAGAAGACTCTAGAACTAATTCCAAGCAAGATACGATTCTTCAAAGTTTTCAATTTTTAAAAATTTTTGCTATTTACGGCAAAATGCAATAAGTCCGTACGAAAGCTACACCCGTCACCTTTAAAACACATTTTAATTTTTGTCGATAGGACACTCTGATCAAAAGCTATCATTTTTACTCTCCAGTTGATAAACTTCATTAGTAGCAAAAACCGTTAAAAGTAAAAAACTAAAGAACCGTATATTGCTTAAAATTAGTTCTAGAATCCTCTACTCTAGACCATTTTAAACGTTATTGATTTTTCTGTACTATAAATGTACTTACCACTGCATATACTCAAACCTGCGTAGAAAAAAGATATAGAACACTGTTTGCAAAAAGATAGGAAAAATGGCCAAAAAGTCGCGAATTTGGTATCTACGATGGTGTAAATCTTAAATACTTTTACCAAACGTCATTGTGAAGAGGTAGGATATTCTCTTTTGTTCAGCAATACCTATATCTATACCCCCGTGGAAAAAAATTATGTCAAAAAAGAAAAATCGCGTTTTTTTGTGGTTTTTGCTTGGTTTTTTAAATGCATTTTTGAAAAAAATATATTTTTGTCTTTAATAGTTGACATTTCGATACAAAATTTTATTTTGAGCTACTTTTGTGTAGATGTATAAGTACGATAACTGCAAAGAATATATCCAAATACACCCTAGTGCATACGGACAAATTCACCCCTTTCTCAAAAACTCAATCCTTTAAATGGTAGCACTCCAGGTTTTTTTCATATTTGATGGTTCTTAGACCATATGAAACAATAAAGCCCCTTTAACGTTGTAGTTCCTTTTAGCCCTATTTTTTTTTAACATAATCAATAGCCTAATGTTTCGCTGAAACACTGACTTCCTGTCACTGACACTGACACAGTCACTGACTGATTTAGGGGTTTCTGGTTTATTTATCACCATTATAGTTTTTACAAGATTAATTATTCTGTTTTAAATTGATCGATAAGTAAATATAAAGAGCTTATGACTATTGTTTATCAATTAATGTAATCAATAAAATAAATATGACTTTCGGCCGTAAAACATACATTTTTTAAAAAATCAACATCTTACAACTTTTATCATTCGTCCACAACTTGTCTTTGTGTGTCTAATAAATAAAAAAAGAAATTCTTTTAAGACAATATAAAACAACGATTTACCGAAGACAATAAATCGGAACAGAGAACAACCTAATTCAATTTTGCGCTAATAACATGAGAATAAACAACACGTTTGCCTCCACAAACCCCAACACAAGTACACCTGGCAGATTACACAAGATCAACAATAAACAATATAATTACTCAAATCATCATGACCGGCTCGACAACCCTTTTTTGGTCTTGGCATGTTCCAGGAATCTTCTCCATTTTGATCTGTTTCTTGCGTTTTTTCTTCAATTTTTTATTTTTAAGGTTGTTATATCATTTTCTATTTATTCTATGTACCTCAGTTTCGGTCTTTCTCTTGTTTTTTCATACTAGTACTTGTTTGCTTATTTTGTTTGGTATTATACCATCTTCCATTCGTTTCACATATCCCATCAAACGTAGCCGTTCTATTTTAATGAATGTTACGATATCCGGATTCTGGTATATTTTGTATAGTTAAAAGTTATTGAAACTATATTGTGACATGTTAAAATGCCCGAGCAAATGTGGGCTATCCTTGAGATAAACAAGATTTACTAAATGTAGTTGGTGAATACGTTAAAGACAATTGCCTAAAAACTCGATTCAAAGATGGCATCCCTGGCGAAGATCGGTATTTTGCATTTATGAAACGCCATCCAAAAACGCCAAATAAACCTGAGCATATTCAAAAACTTAGAAAAGATGCTCGAAAGCCATAAATCATTTATGATTTCTATTATAAACTAGAAGTTGTTCAAAATAATGGCCTTAATGACATCAGTAAATCCATGTTTGTATTTAATGCTGACGAGACTGGAATTAATAGTGATCCCTCCAGAATTAGAGCTATAGAATCAAAGAGTGAAGCTCTATGCAGAGTTTCTAGTGGTTCTGGACGGGAGTCCAAGACAGTGCTCGCATGTGTTTCAGCAGATGGTAAATATTTACCACCGTTCATCGTTTTTAAAGGGTGCTGCTGTCCAAGCAAGATGGGTATCACCAGAGGTCATGCCAGGAACTCTTTACGCTTCTAGCAAAAATGGTTGGATGGAGGAACCTCAATTTCACCATTGGTTTCTTAATGGATTTGTACCACATGTGCCAACAATTCGAGAGATACAGAATTGACCAAATCAAAAAGCTGTACTCTTATACGATTGCTACCGAAGTCATGGATTTGTAACACATGTGCAAATAATTCGAGAGATAAAGAATTTACCAAACCAAAAAGCTGTACTCTTATATGATGGTCACCGAAGTCATATAAGTATTGGAATAATTGAACAAGCATTAAAACATAACATTGACGTTATTAAGTTTCCCAGTCATTTAACGGACAAATTGCAACCACTCAATAAGTGTGTTTTCAAATCAGTTAAATATACATAGGATCGAAAGTTAGTAGCATATGGAAAGAAGAGAATGGGGGAAGGTACTGGGCGTTTATCTAAGAACAAATTCGTACAACTTCTAAGTGAAACTTGGCAGGAGGCTATGCTCTTACAAAATATTATATCTGGTTTTGAGATTACTGATGTGTATCTTGTAAATAGTCAAAACTTTCCTGAATCCGAATTTAATTCGGATGATTCGGACTTCTCCCAGACTTCTGGTGAAAATACTTTAGATGGGAATAAGGAAAATACTAGTGCATTTATTAACAAAACATTAATAAATGAATCTGAACCATCATCATCCAAACACTTGTTTGGTTTTATTTCTCCAACCAAAGACAAACTGGACAGTATATTTCATATGGAGTCAACAAGAACGACATAAAAACTTGACTCTGTTTTAGTTAAAGAAATTGCTTCCGCAGAGAAAAAAGATAATCCCTCGGCTAAAACAGTTGGTCCATGGAGAAGTATTAACTGCTAGTGACGTTTTGAACAGAATGAAGGAACAGAAGATCTCAGAAAGCAGAAAGGAAATGGAAAAAGGAATAAACTTCGAAAAATTGCTGATTCGCTTGAAACTCCAGTACCAAGTAAAAATACAAATACAAAGAAACGTAAAGAGTCATTGTCATCATCTGATGCAAGTGAAATAGAAGTATCTTATGCTGAGAGTAATGACAGTCCATGGGATGAACAGGTAGAAGAAGAGCTACAAGAACTAGAGGCTGCAGAACACCACAAACTCCAGCATGGGAAATTTGTATTAGTAGAATTTAAGGTAAAAGGCGCTGACAACATTTTACAGATATCTATGTATGATAGAAGATATTGATTGGGATAAAAATGAAATTAAGGGTATAGCTCTAAAATGTATGAATGGTACCTGCAAGCAATTTGACGTACAGGAAACTGACATTAGTTTCATCAAATTCAAACAAATTATTTGTATAGCCCCTGAGCCAAATATTTTTATGAAAGGTGAAAGAATGTTTTTACAAGTTTCCTAATAAGTTAGATATTTTTTAACGTTAGTAAATACTTGCGAATAGTAGTAAAAAAAGTGAATATTTATAAGTTTGTTTATACCTATGTATTTTATTTTGATAATATTTTTTTTAAGTTTCCTTAGCACATTTGATATATTCGGGGGTAATTGGAAACATTGGTGTGTTTAAAGGAACCAACTTGCACGATTTTTAGATTACAAACCACGAATCATTTTACTTCAGTTTCGTTTAGATTATATTTAACAGAACCAGAAATCGTTGTTTACATTTACCCCTTTTTTAGTTTTTTTCTTAAAATTTGTGGGGTAATTGGAAACGTTGGATATCTTCATTTTTTGTGACTTTTTCTTAGTAGTTTTTAAGACATTCTTCCGTAAACTTTTCATATAATAGCCAAAAGCTTTTATTTTACTAAAATATGAAACAGTATATGTTTAAATAAATATCAAATGCTTAGACATCATGACAGATATCACAACGTGTTCTATGTGTTAGAAAATAAATATTGTTTTTAAAATTTGTGGTTTTACTTAGAGTTACTAATTGTATTACTTTACAAACTACATTAGAAACATACTTTTTATTATGAAAATTTTGTTGTTTGTCAAACTGCCCGATCACTCATCCTGAATTTTGAGAAATCTTAAAGGTTACAAATACGTTGAATAATAAATGTAACAAGAATCTGTTTGCTTACCTTTCCATTAAGTACGCTCCTAATGCTGGCGAAATCACCATGCTGGCAGCAAATGTACCACTTACTAAGCCATAAGCCAAGGAGCGCTCCCTTTCGTCCGTAACATCCGCAACGTAAGCGAACACAACACTAAAAGTCACAGCAAAAACACCGGAAATACTGACCATGGCAAAGAACCAAAATGTGTTAATAGTCATTAAAGGTATAGGAATACACGTAAAGAACACGGTGATGAGCAAAAATAGCTTACGGCCACATACGTCCGACAATGCTCCGACTAAAGGAGCGCTCAAAAAGGACAGGATCCCCTTGATGCCCATTATCAGGCCATTCATGAGGAATGTGTGATCTGGAAATGTGTCATTTAATACTGATATGAGGGGCATCGTTAGGAGACCCCACGCGAAAAACTCCAGGAAAATAACCACCAGGGCATGGTATAAGCTCGGTTGGCCGATCCCTGACGTCTGAAACAAAAAAAAAAGATGTAAATATTGTGTTTTCAATATATTTTGTAAAAATGAGTATACGATATACCTTTAAATATGTATAAGAATTACTTTCAAAAATGAATTTATGATTTAAATAAGAATACTTTTAAATGTAAATATTTAGTAATAGGTATCATTGACATTTAACATATAGGCAGGGTAATAAAATTTTATCTAATTTTTATCTTTTTGAAGTAATTATTTACGAGTTACAACTTTGTTTTTTTTTTCAAGATAACACATGAACTCGGTATTCAGTTAGTATATTTTTAAATGGCAGCTAATGTTTGTAACAGTAAGAAAATCCCACAAATAGGTTTTCAGAATTATTATCAACAGTGCCACGTTCACTTGAGTACTGCAACAAAAGAGTAATATTTTAAGGATATTACTAGAACGTTAAAAATTTAGTATGGTTTATACCATGCGGTCCATATGTATGGAATAAATTCATTTTTAGCGTTATTAAGGACTATATGAAAAAAACCTGAAACAGATCAGAATTTTATTCTTAAATTGACAATTTACAGTATAAAAATAGTATACCCTTCCAGCACCCCCTTTGAATTATAAGCACCCTCTCGAAAATTTTAAATAATAAAGAGGGTCGTATGGCACCTTGTTAGAAAGGGATTTTAATCTTCTGTTTAGCAATATAAAGTTATTTAAGTTTGGTGCAATCGTAACTGAGAAAAGTGATTTTTAAGATGTAAAATTTTGTTAATGTCTCTATCACAAAACTTTACGTTTATGTATAATGAAGATAATAATGTCACATAATATTTAGAATGTATTTTTCAGTGTACTTTACAAGTAAATTAAATGTTCAAAATGACCACTATTCACTTCTTGACAATACACGAGGCGATTTTGGAATTCTCGTACAACATTTTGTACGACTCCGGGAGTTATTTTGTTAATTTCTTTCGTTATTATAAATTTTCAATCAGCAATACTTTTTGGTCTCTTAAATTATACTTTAGATTTTAAATAACCGCATAAGAAGTAATCGAGGGTCAAATCGAGGGATCTAGCCGGCCATTCGATCATCCCACGTCTTCCAACCTACCTATTGGGAAAAACCTCGTTTAAATAATTTCTAATTATAAGTGCAAAATACGGTGGAGCTCCATCTTGTTGGTAGTAAATAGCTCAATCTATCTCATTTGGATGATTAACATCAGGAAAAAATCTTCGTAATATAGGCACTAAAAAGTTGAAATCAAAAAACCTAGATAAACCTCACCATCAAATGTGCCCTCAAAAAAATAAGTAATAAATAAATTGTTAATTTTTTTCGGATATTGCATGTGAGTCTCACACACCCAGTGAGGATTTTCTCTGCTCCAATATCTACAGTTCTCTTTGTTAACCGTTCCGTTTAAATGAAGCGTCGCTTCATTAGAAAAAACTATTTTGTTTATGAACTGTCAATCTGCGTTCATTCTGTCCATCATTATTTCATAGACTTCTTGCCTTCTATCAGAATCATCGTCATTTAACTCCTGAATCAACTAAAATTTGTAAGGGTAGTATTTTTCTTTATGTAAAACTCTCAAAATAGATAATTTACTTACATCATTGACGGCGGCAAGTTCTCGAGTTGTCTTATACGGATTTTCCTCAATCTCTAGAAGTACATCTAACTTTTTTTCATCAATAAATTTAATATTTCTACCTGGTTTTTCAATATTTTTTTCATGTCCAGTATAACGAATTTTCTTTGCAATTGTGCTCACTGTATACTGCGAAACTTGTTGACCAGGGTATTCATTATTAATATTTGACAAACCTCCTTTTGAGCTCTTGTTGTATTACCACAACCAATCATAATTAAAATGTCTATTCTTTTAGTCTCGGACAAATGAGCCATAATTAAATTTAATACGCGCACAAATATTATAGTCACGTCTTCTAGTAACTCTAAATACCTAAATGACAGCAGCCTACTAGATTTATATCAATTGTTTATTTGGCTTTTTGACTAATATTTTTATTATCTTCAAAGTTTTTTCCCCAATGTTTAGCAGAACCGATACGAAAATACCTGATTATTTCTAAAGTATATTTTAATAGACCAGGCAATATTGTTGATATAAAAGTTGGGATAACGGAAGAAATTAACAAAATAACCCCCGAGGTCATACAAAATGTTGCATGAGAATTCCAAAATCGCCTCGATTATTGTTACGAAGTGAATAATGGTGGTCAAGTTAAACATTAAATTTAATCCTAAAAATCAATTTTCTCAGTTATGATTGCACACACTCAAAAAACTTTTTATTGCTTAATAGAGGACTAAAATCTCTTTTTAACAAGGTGTCACTCGACACCCTTTGCTACTTAAAATTTTCGAGGGGGTGCTTCTAATTCAAAGGTGGGATATTAGTTTCATACTGTAAATAGTCAATTTAAGAATAAAAATTAACCTGTTTCAGATTTTTTTCACATAGTACATAATAACGCTAAAAATGAATTTATTTCATACATATGGACCACATGGTATGTTATGTTATATACAGTATGATGCAAAAGTATGGAATAAATTAATTATTTACGGCACAGACGACTTTAAAAAAATCTTAAGACACGTTAATTTGAAAGGTCTCGTAATCGCCTTTACAACGATGCAATTATTTGAATATTTATTTCTACAAGGTTACCCGAAACCGTTTAGTAATATACAAGAAAATTATAAGAAATATGATGCAAAGAGAAAGACGGGCAGTAAATTTTTTCCTAACGTAAATTAGTTTTGTGAATGTACGGTAAAGCCGCGTTTACACGATGACAATTGGCGAGAAAATTGTCATTGGACAATTGTCATCACGTGGTTGCGGATTGTCGGAGGCCAGTCCAGTTGAACAAGAAGATGTTTATACTGGGCCAACTATTGCCATGGCAGTAGACAGCTACAAATAACACAAACTACGTGTATATTGTTCTTAAGCTATTTTCATGTGGCATTTTAAATTGATTACTATTTAAATGGAAATAAGTAACAATTAAAGGTTAAAGTACGTTTATTGACGTTTCAATTTCCATTCGGAAATCGTTCTCAAAATATAAACATTAGTAAATTAAACAAATTTTGTTTAATTTACTTCGTTGCTGTATTAAGCTCCACACACGGGGCGTTTAGTGATCGTCTAGAATTGCAAATCTCCTCGTGTTGTACGACTTTCGTCACATGCGATCGGTAGCGCACGAGAAAGTTCGTGTAAGGCGCACGTTTTCAGTCATGGGGATAAGATTATTGTATTTGCTTTCTTCGTTTTTATTGTTTTTTGACCTAAAATAATTTTTTTTAAGATCGACGAATATTATGTTCGTTGTTTGTAGTACTACTAGCTTTGTAGAAATATATTGTTTGTAATATAAAATTCTGAAAACATTGAATTTCTGTTTCTAGGCGTTTAATATAAAATTCGTTGGGGAAGTGTAAAAATACCCTCAATTTTATAATTATACAATGAGAGAATATGCCAATATGGATATATAAAAAAATGCGTTCTTCCTGGTTGGCAGATGTGAGCAAACAGTAAACTGAATCCACTAGTGTGCGGTAAACAATCGCTCATGCCGCAGAGTTCGTATAAGACGAGCACGACGCATGAACTTAGACGCGTGCCTTCGATCGACCCATGTGCAGACGGCCGTAGTGAAAAATTCTTCTAATAATTTAATTTGATCCGACTCATTTATATTGACAATTCAGACATACATTATACATTTTAAAGTAGACGACTTTAAAATGATATTGCCAATATTGTTGAGTTGCGCTCCTGGGACGACTTTACTTATAAGATAGTTCATTCGATTACATGAAATCAACTTTAACTTGAGAATACCTGTTAGAAAAAATCATAGCATGTAATTCGTCTTTAAAAATACAAACACATACCATGATGACAGTAAAATTCTCCTGTTAGTGATTCCATAGTAAATTATAAGGGAAAACCAGGAAAAAACCCTCATAATACTATCCCGACATGGTAAGTATTTGGTCGTGCATTAATTTACCTTCAATAAACACAAAATTCTGATTTTATATGTTTATTTAAAAAACATAAATGATGTATCCTCTATATGTTAATGACTTACTAATACTGGTATTTTCTTTTTAATAACTTCCTCTTTTAATATGTGTAACCAGATCCTACTACATTCTGCCGAGGAATTTGCGACACAATATTGGTCTCATTTAGCATAATTAGAGACGCTTCTTTGATTTTTCCTTTTTTACCATCCGTTTCTTTTAGGACTACATTTGAATCATTCCATTGAACCCTATGTTCATTATCTCATGCGTAAAAAACAAAATTTGTTTAATTTACTAATGTTTATATTTTGAGAACGATTTCCGAAGTGGAAATTAAAACGTCAATAAACGTACTTTAACTTTTAATTGTGGCTTATTCCCATTTAAATAGTAATTAATCCACGTGTATGTTTTGACTGATACAAGAGAACTAGAGGGAACTGGCAAAAAACAAGACAGCACTACTGGCCTACACCGTTCGCACGGCGACAATTGAGATTTCGAGTGGTGGGGGGCTCACTGGGCGCAGCTCATTGTCCTCGGTCTACTCCCGGAAACAACTGAATTTTGGGCCAATTGTGAGGGCAGTTGGCAAGGCAATTGGCCTGAAGTGTTTAGACGAAGACAATAATTTCATACTTACCAGTAAGTTTTCTTCTGACAATTGTCTCGCCAATTGCCATCATGTAAACGCGGCTTAAGTCAACCGTAGTTTTATCTTTAACATATTCAATGTTTTGATTATTTATTGTAACCATTTATGATTTGATTATTGTTTGCACCTATAAGTTAAAGTTCATTTATCTCAACAGGGTTATTGAAGGAAATATAGTCGATATTTAATTATTATTGATTCGCTCGTAATAAACCATTGCTTGTTTAATTAGCCACATAATGAGTATTATTTGTGATTCCATTTTACTCAACTAAGTTC